AACAAAAGGAGGTGTGTGATACTATTGTCTGGTGGAATTACTGCCTAACCATTGTACACATAACAAATGGTGATCTATAAAACAAGAAGAGCTACAGTTCCTAGGATATCGAATAATCATAATAACAATTTGGATAGCTAAGAATCAACTCATAAGCTGCTGGAAATCATCTGTCATCTTGAATGAACTTACAATTTTCATTATAAACTAGCGCATAGCCCGTGCGATGCACGGAAAAACAATATTACGATTGTATTATAAATTAAATATATGAATAACATTATAATTTATCAATTATTTTTAAATTAAATCGGGTTAGACACAGTCCAACCGGATGGATCGGAAACTGGTTTAAAACCAGTCTAGTTCGCTTGAATAAAATATTTGCTCTCGAATCCGTCAACACCAGTTGGTTGGATCAATACGATTTTCTAAATAAATTTTGTTATATTTAAAATTATTTTAAATAAAATAGATATTTATAAATTATTTATCAATTAGTTTAAACATTTGAATTTATAAATTGTTTAGATATCTAAGTAACACATTTTATTTAAATTTATTACAAAAAGTACTATATATATATATATATATATATATATATTAAAATGTTTATAAATTAAAATCTGAACAAACCACAAATGATTTAATAAAATAGCATGATCGTTTCGATGACGGTCTACTTCTGAAAACCTTATATTTACTGTACATTAATAAATATTATAATAAAATATTATTTAATTCACATAAATATAATAAAATGATATACAAATATTCATAAATCATTAAACATGTTGTCATAAAAGTATTGTTAATAAGATTATTTGAAGTTTGGACTACATCACATTCACGTAATAACATATTTTCAATATAAAATTTATATTTAGGTTCAATATCGATTTAGTGTGGTCGAATTGATGCATAACTTAGTCACCTGGGACCAACCAAATTGTGTCAAGTTTTTTTACTATTTTAAATATCACCTAAAAGTAATTCAATCAACCTGGGCAGTACCTTAATTCAATCACCCGATTGATCCGAAGAAATTTTCTTATTTTCTTTAAATATATTTAATTTTATGAAATAAAAATAATTTATGATTCATACAATAAATGTCTACCACAAATGATAGTATATTAAGATTATAAATTATATATCTAAAGATGATTTAATTGTTTTTACTTTATTCATATTAATAAAAAATAAACATAGTAATTTTTAAAAAATTAAGATTAATTGATTGATTATGCAATTTAAAGAATATTTTTAGCGTTCAATATTTTTTTAACGCACAAATATAATGACCGAGATTCTAAAACTTTTGTTATATTTTGAATTGAGATTTTATAAATATAGACACCGAGATTTTAATGTTGTTCGTTGTTTTTAAGAAAAAATTAAAAATAAAAACATACACACTTAATAAATATTAGCCGGATTTTTTAAATAATAAAATGAACTAAAGCCCGAAATTTAAGGTAACATTTAATGCTGTATAATTTGTAAAGAAAAAAATAAGAAAAGTAATAAAACTTACTATATATAGGTTGCATTAAATTTTGACCTATTTTTTTGCTACTATTTTTGGTAAATGGTAATTCTTATTATATATATATAGATATAGATTTTTAGATTTTTGAAATAGAATGTAAGTTCATGAAAGAGATGTTTGGGGCTCTTAAGCTATTTCTAGAAAAATTAAAGAGGCTGCTTGTTTATGTTTCTTCTAATGATCGTATTTTTTACTACCTCTAATTTTGGTTAACTAAGTTACAAAACTATCATAAATTCATAATCAACACCTATAGAGGTCCCCTTATCTAATCTAATTCAGACATTTCAACACTTATATATTTTTAAGAGTGAAAACACCCTATCTAAGTTTACATGTTCCCACTTGCCATTTAGCAGAAGATTAATGTTGGCCTAAAACTTAAGGTGGAAGCATGAAAGAATGTTGAGGCACATATTCTAATTAGTAAAAGGGCCATTTAGCTGCCGAAAAGACCATATTGTCCTTGCCCTATCCAAATCTAAAAGTGTTAATGGGATCTAAAAAGATAACATAAAACTTTGCTTTAAATTACAGTTGAAGCCCACTAACATAGAGTTTACCAGATATGTAGCACATAAGATACAAGTCAACCATTGAAATTACTTTCAAGAAAGAGAGTTTAGGTATTTGATGTAACTGATATGGACCTGAAGAGTTATAATATAATATGGGTCCTTTCTGTCCTAAAAGTCAAAGTGTTGATTGACTCATCAAATTATTTATTTAAGCGGACATCTGAATTCTTCCATATCTTTCTAAAAAATTGATTAACTTTACAATTGACCTTGATTTTGTCATCAATCATAGAAACCAGATTGGCCATGAGAGTTAGTATGACGTTACAATTGGCTGGCTTTTATCAAAATATGACGTCACCCCACTTAATATTGACTTACAAGATATTGGCCATGAGAGTTAGTATGACGTTACAATTGGCTGCTTTTTTCCCCCTTCAAAAGGATGTCTTAAGTGCGCTTATGTAAGCCCCCTGAAACTTTTCCTCGTCAGTCAACCCATCACACAAAGTCATCGCCCCAGCCACCTATAAATACCCTTCTCATCATGCATTTCCCCTTCACCACCTGCAAAAAAGAAAAATATAAAAATAAAAATAAAAAAAGAAAAAGAGTTGTGCAAAAACCAATAATCCCAAACTAAAAATCATCCATGAATCCATCAGAAATCCAAGAAATGAACTTCAACATAATCCAAAACAATTTTTTCCCAGATAATCTTCCATATCACCCTGCCTTTCTTACCGGGCTCCATGAGTTAAGCCCCAACAACACTTACATAAGCAGCAACTCAACCTCAGACGAGGCTGAGGATCACCAGCATAGCCTTATAGATGAGAGAAAGCAAAGAAGAATGATTTCCAACAGAGAATCTGCCAGAAGATCAAGAATGAGAAAACAGAGGCATTTAGACGAGCTTTGGTCCCAAGTTACTCGTCTCAGGACCCAAAATCACAATCTTATCGACAAAATTAACCACATGTCCGAGAGTCATGAAAAAGTGGTTCAAGAAAACACGAGGCTCAAAGAGGAAACTTCCAATCTTCGTCAGATGCTTACGGATCTTCATATAAGCAATTCTTATGAAATATTGAGGGGTTTTGAGGATATTTCATGCAACTTGGCTCACCTCAAGTCTGAGTATTCGGACCAATCTGTCACCACTTTTCTTCACTGAGGAGGGGATGTGTTAAGTTTATACTAACCCCGTCTACTTAATTTTTTTTTTTTTTTTTTAGTTAATGTTTG